AAAGAGCTGTTAAAAATCCCTGTTGTGTCTTTTATTTTCAGGAAAGGCTTTTGGTTTGCTCACCATAGCAATGGTCATCAGACTGATTGTAACCTTTCTTGTGGTATCTGGAAACAATCTCAGAATCAAGGACAAATTATTTGTGGCCATTGCCTGGTCACCAAAAGCTACAGTCCAGGTGAACAACAGAGTGCAAAGTAGTTACGAATTGGGTCATCAAGTACTGTGTAAAGGTCACTTCTGCTGTGAGATGAGTATGAATACCGGCTACAGAGTAATAAGCAGGGATGGGGAGCAGGGGAGCAGGGATGGCACAGTGGTGAGAGCGCTCGCCTCCTACCAATGTGGCCCAGGCCAGTGCCATATGTGGGTTGAGTTTGTTGTTGGTTCTCGCCTTGCTCTGAAGGTTTTTCTCTGGGTTCTCCAGTTTTCCTCCCTCCACAAAAACCAACATCTCCAAATTCTAATTCGACCAGGATAGAGGACCCGCGTGAAAACCAGCTAAGGCTGATGTGGCTTCCTCTCTAAATATTGTAAAATAAATCTGTACCTCACAAGGCTGCAAATTTTAACATCAAACGAGCATAGCCATGTCATCAAAAATCAATTTGCGCGCTGTGCGTACACCTTCAAAATCTCACGCTACGCCCCTGCATACAGTGTTCTAATGATATCTAGTGATTAATTAATATTGTTACCAAAATATTGAGCTTGGAGGGCCAGCTGTGAAGGGCAAATAATAAATCACTGATAGTGAAAGAGAGCTCAGCAGAACACAACGAAAGTCCCCTCCCTTCTTTCTTTGCAAAGACTAAACAGTGATTGTCTACTCACACCTAACCTGCGATCACACATTCTTTTTTTACTTTTTATTTTTCGTCGAATGTGGGCAGAAGTTCTCCTTCCTCCTGCTGTTAAAAAAGAACACCTAATCACAGGTTAACTCACACCTGACTGATGGATAAGCCCTGGAAACGAGGTTGACTCATCCCCAGTAAAAAATATGACCTTTAATTCACCTCTGCTTCCCCTACAGATTGTTTATCAGCTGTGGATATTTTTGGCTTTTTCACTCTCACTCAGCCCTCGACCCTTTGTTAGCTTGAAAGATAAGCCTTGTTGAGTATTTCATTGGTCAGGCACATTTATAAACCTCTGTTATTGCAGATTTTGGACTACCCAAATACACACAATAATTTTAAAAGCAGCCAACATCATCCAATGTATAAAGTGCAAATAAAAATAATTGATTCATGATTTGAAATACATCAATTTTAATTTTGAAAGACATCTAGATAGTGAAAAGTAAAATGCATCCCCACTAATTATCAAAGTTTTTCTTGGTTATAGTGTTCAACAGTAAGTCAGTACTTTCAATAATTATGGTAAGTAACTGCTGCTGTTGTTTCTCAACAAGCGCCAAAATGAATTTTGAGCCTAGCTTATTATACAATTACCAGTAGTGATTGCTGAATTACAATATTATCATGAAAAGCAGTTTACACAGGGACTGCGCTGCATTAATTACATGTGGTATCCTTGAGCATACCAAGATGCCAAGTGTTGACAAAAAAAGATAAAACTGTTCACTGTGTTCATAACCAAACAAATCACACTTTGATATCAAGAGGCCCAAAATGCCATTTAAGAAGATGGGTTTGCTCTCTTAAAAATAACAGGCCCCACATTATCGCCAGTTTCCTTGTTATGCTGATTGTGGCTGCCATCACAGTACGGAAACTGAAAATAAACCACAAAATTGAGGCTACCTGAATGTTCAATGTGTTCATTATTTCATTCTGATGTTAACTTAATTGCACTTCATAATGAATTGCAAGCCCTTTCATATCATAGTCAGTGGCATACCAGGTGATATAATCTGTACTAGGAATGGCACTGGTTCATTTTAAATCACTTGCATGCCCAGGCAAATGTAAATTGTTTGCCTTTATGCTGATTACTTATTGCTTAATAATATATTTATCTAGAGCGGTTTTCAATTGAGTGTTGTAAAACCAAAACTAAACTAATTACTTGCCAATTGGACTACTCAGCCAATCTCAAGCTGTAGAAAACCAAAACCAAAACCAAAACCAAAGTAACTGCCTGATAACTTTTGACACTCATTTGAAACTGCTCTGTTTACTCACTGACTACCCATTCGTTACTCACCGTTTTTTAATATCTATGATGAAAAGTGTTTTGAACGTAATACATGCAACTCCCTGTAAGCTATTTCTAGCCAGCTTTGTGCTTGAACAAAGCCAAACAAAGGCACAAATAACACGCAGTACAGTCAACAGACTTGCGCGTTAAAGCAGCTACATTCGAATCATGTGGTGCCAGAACGAACAAAGAAGGTATAAACCTAAACATTGAGCTCGTGAGACAAAAGGTCGATCAAATTGATGCAAGAAACATCAGAACATCTCTACACAAACATACACATGTAGCTTTCTTAAAGTAAAGCTACGGTAATCTCTGAAGAAAAGCCGGCAAAGCAAATATGATACATGTATCCATGAAAAAAACTAATCCAACAGCTGGTCCTGGCATCACAATGTAGAATGCAAGTAAGCAACATGTTCAAGGAGTATTTCAAACTAATATAATGTCCCTCGAGAGCCCTAACTAAGAGAGCTTAAAACATATCTTGCAATAGAAATGAGCCTAAACAAAGTATAAGCACATGGCAAATTACAGGGGTGTCAAACTCTGCAATGCAACTTACAGATAACAGTGGAAACCATGTAGACCTATGATTTCTAAACAATTTGCCAAATGGCTCCACTCTACTTATAATTACTCTCAATAACACAGCATAATGTGCCCTAGGAGTATTCAGAAACACACGTGAAGCAAAGAAAGGTTGAGAGACCGAAGATTCAAAGAGAATGGCAAATGCATAAATGTCACACACTGTAGGAGTCGTGTAGGCCTGTAGCATGCCAACACAGAAGGATTTCCTGCTTTTGCCTCACACAGCTGCCAAAAAATACCATTATTTTTCAGCAGCGTAAATCAAAAACCAGCAATCCGCCTGTTCACAGGCTAGAAGGCTC